TAAAGTTTAGGGGGCAGGGAGTTGAGATTAACGAAGGAGGGACAATTTGGAAAAAGGAGGGTGAGAATGGTCGCACAACTTGAAGAATGTAATCAATGTCACTGAATTGTACATGTAGAAACTGCTGAATTATGTTCTGCTGTGTATACTCTCAACAACAAAAATAAATTATTTTTTAAAAATCAGAAAATCCAACATTGAGTAGTTGTTTTTGCATGGCAATAACCAGCAGGAGTTGAATAAAAGCTACTTGCTTTTAGTCAGGGCACAAACTTGCCTGGTCCCTGATGTAGATGAGATGCTTGCCCCTGGGAATGAAAAAGCCCTTATCTGTGCTCCTCCAGAGCTCACTGAAATATAGGCCAGAGCTGGTCCATAAAGCTCCACAATACACCCACATTTAGCCCTCCTGGGACAAGTAGGTCTGAGGTGAGGATCCCATGTCACACCAGTTAAGAGATATCAAGTCTCCAAATCACAAACCTATAGGAGCAGGCCCCTGGCCACCCCACTGTCTGTCCGTCCCAGGAGGGCTTCTGGCCCAGCAGTGCTCTCTGGATAGCCTTCTTTCTAGACAACAGCAGCACAAGCTGCCATTTCCCCAGGAGGCAGACTGGCTGCTGGAACTGGCCAAGTCCCCCAGCTGGGGATTTCCTGGCTCTGTGTCGGTTCTAGATTCCTGGGCCACACTCCCTAAATGGCTCCACCAGATGGCAGGCAGCCTTTCCTTTCCCCAGATTTACACTAGTTCATGCATCTACCTAGGGAAGATGACTGACTTGCGGATTTTCTGACAATTGATACCTTCTCCAGCAAGCTAAAAAGCACATCAGTTTTGTGTTCTCTAAGTGAAATATTTGGAGCTGTCTATTTTAAAAAAAAAAAAAAAATTAAACCTCTCTTCCGTTATTATACAATTATGTATTGTCAGAGAGTCATTAGCTAATTATCAGTTATTTTACATTGATTCTGGTCCAACATGGGCTCTCACTAGACATTTTATTTTGTGGTTTCATTAACTACTTAATTATCTGCACTACTGCCAAATACAAAATTCTGTGAAGATTTGCTAGCATAAATTAAGAACTAATTATGAGCAATTTCACTTACTAAATCTTGCTTACTCATCATAAGCTAGAAAACATTATGTTAAAGTGCTAAATCGTGAAGTTAGATGGAATACGCTTTTCTCTTCTCCCTGTCATATAACTGAGGTTTCCTTCCATAGAGGTAAATCAAATGAGATTGGAAGTCCATTTTCATCCTAAGTGCAGCACTTATTACAGAATCTTGAGATTTGGTACAAGAGCCTAGTCTTGAATTCTTGGACCTGAGTTCAATCCCATTTCTGAGACTTAGCTCTGTGAACAAGTTACTTAAGCTCTCTGAGCTTCCATTTCCTTTAGCTATCACACAAGGACACCGCACACCTCACAAGATTATGTTAAACAGGACAATCTCTGTAGAAGCTGGCCAATCAATATTAGTTTCCTGCTCTTCCTCCATAACATAGAAGTTTGGGTTTTGCTCTTGGTCAAAAGGTGGCTATTATACACTCAAGGTCTCAGCCTTTTCATTTGAGTCTATTGGCAGAAGATGTTCTGACCAGACGCTGAAAGAAGACAACGAGGGTATGGGTGAACTGAGAAGGCTACTCTCTATGTATGCACTCTTCCAGATGTCTTAGTACTTCTCTCGTGTACTTGTTACTATGAATCTGTAAAACAAGTATCTTTCATATGTGAGGAAAGCAAGGCTCAGTAAAATGGACTTGCCCTGTAAGGAGTGGAGCTGGACTGTAAACCACATCTGATGAACCGTGAAGTCGGTGCTCTTTGCTCTGTTTTTCACTCCCCTTCAGTGGTTGGAAAAGTATCTTAGATTTATATACATCTTTTGTCCTCTTCAAAAAAAAAACAACCAAACCCACTGCCGCTGAGTTGATTCCAACTCATAGCGACCCTACAGGACAGAGCAGAACTGTTCCATAGGGTTTCCAGAGAACGGCTGATGGATTTGAACTGCTAATCTTTTTGGTTCCCAGCCACAGCACACTGTGGCTCTTAACCACTGTGCCACCAGGGCCCCTCTGTCCTCTTCAGAGCATCGTATATAAGCCAATTCTGCCAAGTCTACCTGCGCTTTCTGGTCCACCTCTTATCTCTGTTCCCTGGCTCATAATAAGCACTTATGATCTTCCACTTCCCTCAAAAAAGCCTGAAGTCCCCGACGCTTCTGTTTGGATTGAGACAGGTGGACAGGCTACACCTCAAAGGGCATTCGGTGGTACAAGGCCTTTCCTCAGTCACAACACAGTCCCCTGCAGTAAAAGCACAGTCTCCAAAAGGCAGCATTAGCTATTCTAAAAGGCAACATTAGCTGTTCCAACCAGCAATTAAAAAATAAACCACTGTTTTAGTCATTTGGGTGAGTCACAGCAGAGGACCTGAATGTCTTTACAGAGCAGAGAAGGAACTCTCTGGTATGTGTGTGAGGCCCTGCTGCTATGGGGTGAGCCCCATACAGGGCTTCTCATACTGTGCTGGCACTGGCACCAAGAGGTCTGCACTCGGGATTACTAGAAAGGTCCAAGAGCATCAATGCCCTGCTCCAGGAGGCAGAAGCCAAGTCACACCCTCCAGTAAGCCTCCTCTGGATTTTACTGGGTTTAGTGCCCATTCGGAGGAGGCCTAGTGGCACAGTGGTTAAGCGCTCAGCTGCTAACCAGAAGGTTGGCTGTTCAAACCCACCAGCTGCTCTGCAGGAGAAAGATGTGGTCATCTTCTTCCGTAAAGATTACAGCCTTGAAAACCCTGTGGGGCAGTTCTACTCTGTACTACAGGGTCACTATGAGTTGGAACCGACTTGATGGCAACAGGTTTTTGGAACGCCAATTCAGCAAATCAGATTTACAGAGCACCAACTTCCTTCAAAAAGATGTGTGGTCATGTCCCTTCCTAGGGGTACCCCGGACATCTTGGAAACTGCGGCACCTTTGGGACTGTCCTTCTCCCAAAGGACTCCTGACTTAGTTTTCCAGACTGGACCTTTTTCTCCCTAATGTGTACATCTGTTGGGCTAGTCACTTACAACATCTGATCTTGTGCCACAGAAATAAGAACAGATGGAACCTCTCCTTGAGCACACACAGACCTCAGGGCTAGAAATACACCTGCTCCACACAGGAATACCCTCTGTGGGAAACCAGACCCAGCTAAGCTATACGTACACACCAGAGAACCCCTTGCCAACATTTGATGGAAACAGCAACACGTTACATGCATTAGTCAGCCAGCCGGATGAACCAAAAACGAGAATCGATAAAGAACACTGAAACCAGTTTTTCCTGAAGCCCTTGATATTACTCTTCCTCGCACGTAAGGCTTATGAAAAGTTATTGTTTTAAGATCAATAAACATCCCTCTACCAGTACCCCCATTAACTAGATACCAATAAAAAGTTTATCCAAAAGACTGACCCAACCTGGATAAATTCTAAAGGAGCAGGACAGATGGAAAGAAAAGAAAAAATAGTTAATTGGGGCCGTAAAGAAACAAAAAAGGTTGAAAGAGAGTATGTCCAGATAAAAAGACCATGGGTGGTGTTTTTTAATCTACTTTTATTTTTCAAATTTTCTTTATGTGAAAATGTACTTGTTTACATAAAAATACGTATCTGGGTAGCAACTGGATAGTTCAAGAAAATACCATGGACACAAATTTATCAATTCCCACAGTGAACCTAAGGTGCCTGATAAAAAGGCCAAAGATGCCCCCATGTGGCTAGAGAGGAAAAATGTTGTGTTTCAAGTAAGATGCTGGGTAAGGAGGCTAGTCAAGAATTTATTCACTCCCTTCTCTTACGAGGCCTTGGATTCTCCACAGCCTTCTTCATCTTTTCCACAACTTGAAGTTTTGCTTCTATTGTCAGAGCTAGAAGTTATACAGTGCTCACGGTAAGCTTTGTATATATTTATTATGTATTTTAAAAATATATATTTAAAAAATACATAAAGCTTTAAATAATCAACAAGAATACTTAAGGTTAACTGGCACTTCAACACAGACGCCAGTCCTGCTGGGATGTGCAGCAACGCTCTGGTGTGTTAACCACCTGGCAAGCAGGTAGGGTGAAGGAACCAAACTATTGGAAGCATAGCAGACTCCAAAGAACAAAAGCAGCTTTGGTCTCCTCAGAAAAAAAGCTCTGCTTCTGTTCCCACTTTAGTTATCAAGAGATCAGAAGCCAATGCCAGGGACCAGAACAGAATGTAGGATTTAATTTCATACCAATCCAGCAAGATGAACTTGGCCTCAGACAGTTAAGTATCACCCAACATTATGATATGTGGGCCAATAAAGAAAAAATTCCTTTTCTTCAATAATATAAGTGTATGCTATCACTCAACTATAAAGTATATGCATAACCAGTACAATTTTTAGATGTCCTCTAAAAATGTTTTCAATGTTCTCTCATTACATAGTCCACAATAAGAAACACACACTCTTCTCAGAGCAGGAAATGAAGACGTCCAAATGTAAAGAAGGCACTCAGAACTGTAGTACTTATAATACTGAACAAGCTCTTCTTGCCACAATTATAATTTTTTTTTAATTCTCAGAGCATTAGCTTAACACCTATAAAACCTCCTCCCCGACACCACGCCATAAACCTGGGGTTCTGAAGCACACATAAACACAGACCCACCTTTTGTGCCTCTAGATACAGAGTATTCTCTGTGAATCCCTAAGAAGTAGACTTAAAGGTCAACACTGCCTGAAATCCATTTTGAACAAGAAAAGGAGTATAAATAAATACACTACTGTTATCACATGGAAAAATATAAGATATTAAGTGAAAACAAAAAGTGTAAGTTAAACCCATACACTCACACAATCCCATCTTTAAAGAGAAATGGCAGGAAACACACTGAACTACCAATATTAGTTGTGTCAGAGAAGGCTGAGACTAGAGGTGATTTTGTTGTTTTCTACTTTTCATTTTTCCAAATCTTCTTTAATAAGCATGTGATACTCTTTTATAATAAAATAAACAAGCAAAAATAATACTTATCGATTACTTTTTGAATGAACAGTTTATCTTACACTTATATCAAGAAAACTAGGTTTGGGTCACTGCTTATTATTTGAATGTGACAGTCATCATAGGTAAGTACAGCAGAAAGGTACGGGTGGGTATGGCAGAAAATTACTGTACCAGAGGCCCTGAACTGAATCTTGGCTCTGTGTGACCCTGGGCATTGGTCTCCTCATCCTGTCAAATGAAGGGCTGAACTAGAAGAGTGGTTCTTAATCCTCGTGACTCCTGTCTATAAATCAGGGACCCTCTCCCCATGGGAAAAAAAAAAAAAGGAAAAAAAAAAAATACATGCTCACAGAGCTTTTAGAAATAATTCCAGGAAGTTTATGGATTCTCTAGAGGTCCATGGACCAGACATAAACATTGGTTAATATGTTCTCTTCCACAGCTCTGGCTCCACTACCACAGGGAGGCATACTATAGTACTATTTTCATTTCCTGGGTCTTTGCTGAGGACCTGATCTACTGCTGCCAAGATATGCCAAGGTCATCAGCTTTCGATCCTACCAACATCCACCTCTCAAAAGGGTGGCTTAACTTCTCAGCCCGAGTCTTCTTTGTAGGTGGCAAGGAGCTCTGGCACCATACTCAAAGATTTTAGTCTAAACAGAACCCTAGGCTGCTGTGTAAAATCAGGCTGTGAAAGTTAAATGCAGCAGAGGGTAAGTGAGACACCAAAAGAACAAAAAAAGAGGCTCCTTTTCCAGAGGCATTCCTGCTGAGCCCTGGCATTCCAATTAGAAACATGTTTTGAAACACAGTTACTTGGCCTCAGAAATCTCCAGTGCTAACAGGTAAGCACAGAGGATGATACTTGAACCCACAAACAGCTGTATCTGGTCACCAACAACTTATCTGCCAACAGATGCGACTTTCATAAGTTAACTGCTGTACATACTATATGGCTCCATTTCTTATTCCTATCAAAAACCACTTACCCACCCAAAGCCCCTCCCCACAAAAACATTCCCCCAACCCCAGGATTCAAACAGGATTGATGATTTTCAGTTTTGAATAGTCTTATATTAAAAACAAAACAAAGCTCCACTTCAAATGTCAAAACAAATGAAAATCCTACAGCAGTAAAACAGCTATGAAATGGCTGGAGGTAGGAGTACAGCTGCATTCTGCTGTGTCTCAGTCACATTTGGGAGTTTTGCTTACCTAATTCTGTTTCTGAAATAAGCACCATTAAAGCAGACATCGGTCAGGCATGTAAGTTTCCACAGGCGCTCCACAGATCGGTCCTTCCACCCAGCATCACTTAGGTTTCTCTCCCTGACTCTCCCACCACCTACCATTAGGCCAGTTCCTTTCTCAGGTATGAGACAGGGATCATTATATGTACCCACAGTGAGTAGGTCCAGTCTTGAAAGGTGACTCCAGAAGAGGGTACCAGGGCCTAGCTGCCCTGTTGAACTATCTCCATTTAGAGGAAAAGAGAACCTTCCTTCCTCATGAAGCATCCTTGGGTGGCAGAGAGAGCATGATGCTCTGTGCAGCCCTGACCCAGACCAGACCCCAAAAACAAGCCCTTCGGCCTCAGAGAACCAGCCCAAGCTGAGGTGACCAGCTTAAGTCAGGTTTAAATCCCTCATGAGTTTACTGATGGCTTTTTGTTGTTGCTGATAACCACCATTCTTCCTCCTGAGAGACCATAATACTATTCCCTATAACTTAAAAAAAAAGGTGGGGGGGGGGGTAGATTTAAAAATGGATTAATTTGTTTCTGTTTTTAAAAAGTATTCCGTATAATGTTACTAATGAGCCAATGGTGGAATTCCTCCTGGCACCCCATTGGCCACTCCAAGGCAAGCTGCTTTTATAGACACTTTTCCCAACAATGCAAGAAGTTTGGAGTTAACTAGCAACAAGCCTGAAAATTTGGTTACGTATATAGGTACAAAGCTGGTTCATCAAATCCCTGTTCTGGCCCTCAACCCAATGCATTTCAACTAATGCATCATCTACCTCCTTCTTAACATTTATCAAACACTTAAACAGATAATGTCCAGCTGCTCCTTGCAGATGTTTCCCTTTTTCAGCCACTGGGTTGCCGAACTGCTCAGATGCCTCCAGGTCCTGGGGTTCGTTGCTAGAGCCTTTACAACTTTCCAAAACCTCTATCCCTCCCTTTTCCTCACTCCTTTCATCCTCCATGGTCTCTGGCTTTTCTTCTTGGGAAAGGGAATGCTGGTTTGGGCAGTGGCCCTCAACAGTGAGAGACTCGCCCTCCTGTACAGCAGGCCCACATGGGGCACTCTCCCGGGGGCCCTGGGCCAAATCTTGGCTATTGCCAGACTCTTTGGGAGAGGACTTTTTCTCTTCCAAGGCTTGGATGACGTCCTCAGGAGCTCGGGGAACTTCTCTCAATTGTCTCACTCGTTCCCTTTTCTTTCTCCTTAAATGAATCCAGGAGTTTTCTATGGCTGTTAGGAAAAGGCTAATCTCCTCCTTTCCACAGGGAACTCGCTTATGCTGGACCTATTTGGAGGAAAAACAGAATTTTATAGGAAATCACTTTTTTCTTCTCTTCTCCAAACTCCTTTAAGAAAGGAAGAAAGGAAGAAAGAAAAAGTAGTATAAATACTTCTTCAACAGGTACCTTCAGATCGGTGAGAATTTTTTCAATCCAGGTCGTCACAACTACTATGCCTTCCACTGTCTCAGAGCCCAAAGACGACGCTTTGAGGGACAGCTCTTTCATCACAGATGCCAACACTACAAACGTAATGGGTTTTCTTGGCTTCTCCAATTTTCTTCGTTTACTTGGTGGCGACTGAAAGAAAAAGAAGCATAGGAAAAGAGAGGAAAGTTATACAAATAATTAAATCTCATGCATTACAATGGACTCAGCTGGGGTAAGTTCCATGATGTAACTGCTACCAATCACAGACCCCTAAAAATGCAAAGGCCTTTGCTTGTGTTATCTCCAATACCTAAAACAACCCTGCAAGATAGGTCTTCCATCTCCTCATTTTACAGATGAGAAAACTAAGATACAGAGTAGCTACTGTAACCAGCTCAAGGTCACATAGCTAGTAACTACAAAGTTAGAATTTGAACCCCAAACCCAAGTTCCTTCCACCATAACATGCTGCCATTGTTCCGGCTATCAATATATCACTCCTCCAATTGTTAAATATACTATTCTACCTGTTTTGCTCAAAGCAGGCCTGTACAATGATTTTTGCATAGCAACTCAAGGACCCTGGGGCATTGTGTTCTTTTCCATAAAGAACTGCATGGCTTGAAATCACCAACTTGTAGTTTGAATTTGTACTTGCTGAGGCTTGAAATAAAGCAGCCAGTGAACCAGTAGCTTGTGAGATCATAAGCTAGGAATGACCAGGGCCATTAAGATCACATGGGCTGAAGAGGAGGCCTGCTGAATCTTGGTTAATGTTGGGACCAAGCCAGTAGCTAGCTAAGCACTGCGTCTCAGCTGGGGAGAGGGGCACACCAATTCTGATGAAAACACTGGATTTGAAAGCGGTTCCACATAAATCAAGATTGTCATCTCTTTTTTTCTATCTTAAGCTTAGACGCTTGGAAGGCGAATTATCCCCTACCCACTAGAGGGACTCACGCTCCATTTTAAAAACCAAATGACATCACTGTATTTAAAATTTCTTTCAAGTGAAAACCTTCTAAACGGTATTTTAAAAAAAAAAATGACTCTTAGCTATGACTAGATATATTATGGATACTTTAAAGAGAGACTTGTACTTGCTGACAAAATTTATCAAAACTTTAAAAAAATTAAGACAATCCTAAAGTCAGGATCAAAAAGAGCAGATGAAGCTAGTTAAGGAGAAAGCCTCAAAAAGAGTAAACACCTAGTTAGCTTTGAAGATCTTTTCCTGCAAAAAGGAGCCCTGGTGGTGAAATGGTTAAGCACTCGGCTGCTAACCAAAAGGTCAGCGGTTCAAACCCACCAGTTGCTCCATGGGAAAAAGATGCAGCAGTCTGCTTCCATAAAGATTACAGCCTTGGGAACCCTATGGGGGCAGTTCTACCCAGTCCTATAGGATCACTATGAGTCAGAACTGACTCAACCACAACTGGTCCTGCAAAAGGGAATCCCTGCTAACTCTGTAGCTGCTAATTCTAATTCTACCTGGAAACATTGTCAGAGCATGTGTACACACACAGTGAGGTCCAATTACTAGCTGAGGCCTTTTAAGAGTTAAATGGTAACCCCACACTTCATACATACACAACAAAACAGCCAGTTTGTTCTATACTAGAACTCTTTTAAAATATTATCAGAAATGATACTTCCAAGAAACAATCTATGCTTTCTTTTTATACCAGAAATTAACTGATTAAAAAATGGAAATTAAAGAATGCCAGAAAAAAACTTAGAAGAAAAGGACCAAAAGCAAAGGGTGTGTTTGAGTAAGAACCTAGTCTTAAGAAATGAATACTGGACTTCAAGTCCTGCCTGAGCCTGCACTTGTTTCACAAATGATTCAGGCAAGATCAGACAGATTCATATTGACATTAAGACAGTAGTACTGCTATTGCCCAATCATGCAGAATGAGAAACATAATTTCTACAGTTTTACTGAGAGCCTCACAGGCATTTCGACACTTTGCATTAAGGAGCTAAAATATGATTATTAAGCTGAGGAGAAAAGAAGGTGGTGGGGTGTGTGTGTGTGTGTGTGTGTGTGTGTGTGTGTGTGTGAAGGTGG